TGCTCTTTTTTAAGCAAAACTACTACAATCTACCTCTTTTCTTGGTCAAATGTTTGATGAGTTGAGATGATATGTTCACCTTCTATGGCAGAATTTTCTCAAACATGGGCTTCCAATTATCATTCTATCTTCCCATTTGCTCCCCTCCTTTTTCAAAATATGGATTCACCAATTTATGGTCCACTAATGACCCCCGTTCTTACTACATGGCTAAGTGTTTAACAAGTCTAAAATCTTTCTAAAATCATATCCATGGGTTCCTATAGGGTGGAGGGTATTGTATGTCATCCTGAAGCTGAGGGAAGTGCCTGATCTTCTCCCCTTGCTTCAATCTTCCCCACTGCCTGGGCCTGGCAGGTCTTTTACTCCCCCTCTTGGTTCTTCACAGCTTAGCTCAAGTTTCATATACTCTCTGGAAGCTTCTGGGATAACTTGAGCCTGTGGAATTCTCCCCATTCTCCAAAGTCTATACCACCATTAATTGCTGGGATGTGGGGAAATAGGTTCTACTTACATAAATGGGTTAGAAAAAAGCTTAGGGTGGAAAGCCGCCACCATGGGGCGAAAGCGCTGAGGTTAGGTAGTGAGATATTGTAATAGGATCACAAGTAACTTGTTATATCACCTGCAGGAAATTACTTTCCATCTGGTGACAATGTACCTTGATCACAAACTCCACTTGTCACGCCCCCCACCCCCCAGGATCCTTTGCTTCTTACTCACACAAGTTAATGATTACTATCTGACTACTTTCTCCATACTCACATGTGTAAGATCTTGTTGTCTTCACGCTACCCACACGGGTAATATCTTGTGAGCTCAATAAATACAGAGACGAAATGCCCGTTTGGGGCCCCTGTCTCCTCTCGGACATGAGCGTCTCTTGCATTCAATTCTGCGTCCACTCTCTTGTTGCACAAGAGAGAACTCCAGACTCATAGTCAATGACACTGGAAAAGATGTGCCAGTCAGTCTTCATGTTGTAGAGCAGGCTTTCTCAACCATGGCACTACTGACATTTTGAGCTGGATAATATCTCCTTGTGGACTGTGTCCCCTCTCCCAGTATGATGACCCCAGTGTCTACTAACATTTCCAAATGTCTCCTGAGGGACAAAAATCACCTCTGGTTGAGAACTGCTGTTGAAGCATGATCCCCATGTATCAGCCAATGTGCTAGACTGTACAGACTTTATTCATGGTCATACCCTATTTTGCTACCTTCATCTTCCTTTACTTTTGTTCACTCATTTAGCCTTAAGTTATTTTACTGCACCTTTAACTTTACAAAGCACTTTAAACCTTTTGTTGTTTTGTTTTACAGGGCAGGTAGTATAAAAACAAATACCCATTGCTTCTTTTAAACTTTGCCACACATAGCCCATGGAAGTAAATATTAGCATTGCCTTTTAAACAAACACTAAAGACTAGAGATCTCTGTTCAATAACTGAACTAAGGACTAAATAACAAGCATTAGAGAAGCAAAGACTCAGTCCATATTTTCAGAGCACAAAGCTATTTTGTCTCCATAGACTAATTCTTGTTACTGTTCAGCTGTATTTTAGCTTGCAGAACTGGGAGCTCGGAGCCTGGAGCCTGCTTCGGATTCTGTGTCTCCCTCTCTCTCTGCCCCTCCCCCACTCATGCTCTGTCAAAAATAAACATTAAAAAAATTTAAAAAGCATTCGAAGGGGCACCTGGGTGGCTCCGTCGGTTAAACGTCCGACTTCAGCTCAGGTCATCATCTTGTTCGTGGGTTTGAGTCCCACATCGGGCTCTGTGCTGACAGCTTGGAGCCTGGAGACTTCTTCGGATTTTGTTCCCATCTGCCCCTCCCCTGCTCTCTCTCTCTCTCTCTCTCAAAAATAAATAAACATTTAAAAAGCATTTGAAGAAAGGCAATCTCAATAAATGGACTTCTGAAAGGAAAAAGGACATCAACAAAGACATGTGTTGCATTTTCTGTCCAAAGGCCAGTTTCTCTCCTCCGATTTTGGTTGGCTGTCATGATGAGAACATTGTGTAGCACAACCAGAATGTCTGCTGAGGTTTCAACTGTTTTACAGTCCAGGCAATTTCACACTTTCAATCACAACTGCAGTTCAACGAGGTCAATGTTTTATAGCTAATGAAACTAAGGTCCGGTGTCTAACTGACACTACCAATATTCAGTTTCAAGTCCATGCAATTTCCATCGAAGCAGAAGACTCTGATATGTCTAAAGCTTTCCAATTGTGGTCAGGAAGTTTCCACTTTAGAGCAAAAATAAATCTTTATTACACTTAAGAAATATAAATATCACTATATTTAGAGGACAACTGTTAAATTAAGGCTTCTAAACTACCACATGCGGATTGAAGCTTAGAGTACTTGCCCCAGAGAGATAAGATTTCTGAAAGCTGGAAAGTAACTTAGAAATTATTTTACAGAACATGGTGAGTTTATTGGTCTCACAACAGATTCCTTTCTCCTTTTTTAAATTTTTTTTTTTTTTTAACGTTTATTTATTTTTTTGGGACAGAGAGAGACAGAGCATGAACGGGGGAGGGGCAGAGAGAGAGGGAGACACAGAATCAGAAACAGGCTCCAGGCTCTGAGCCATCAGCCCAGAGCCCGACGCGGGGCTCAAACTCACGGACCGTGAGATCGTGACCTGGCTGAAGTCGGACGCTTAACCGACTGCGCCACCCAGGCGCCCCCTTTCTCCTTTTTTAATTGAGAAGCAGCAGGAACAGTAGAAAGCCCTGAACATAGTGGAATCCAGATTTATCTTTATTAACTAGAACCCCAGGTATGCTATTTCACCTCTGCTGGCCTGTTTTTACTTTAATGAGAGGTGGACCAGGTGACCTTCCAGCACTAACGTTTTGTGACTATCATGCTTACCTTATCCTTACAGGAAAACCCCAAATAAGAAAATCAACGTATTACACCCATAGATTAACCTTAGTCATTTTTACTTCAGAATTGCAGTGACTTTTCTCTCAGCCGTAGCTTCCAAATGATGGTCTCTCACCCTGTTCCACAGAGGGAGTAGCAGAGGCAACAGTGCAGTCAAGGATGTAAAAACCTCTACACCAAAAAAATCTAAATTATCTCAAGTTTTTGAAGGTTTTTGTTTCTTTGTGCCAGTGTGCCTCTGTAGATTCTGTTCTGCCTTAAAATTAAAAAAAAAAATCTTGGGGCATCTAGGTGGCTCAGTCGGTTAAGTGTCCAACTTCAGCTCAGGTCATGATCTCATGGTTCCGGAGTTTGAGCCTCATGTTGAGCTCTGTGCTGTCAGTGCAGAGCCTGCTTCTGACCCTGTCCCCCCCTCTCTGCCCCTCCCCTGCTTGCGCTGTCTCAAAAATAAACATTAAAAAAAAAAAAAAAGAAAAAATCTCATAAGCCCCTCCTCCACTCTCATAGCAAGGTACGGCATGTTTATTTATAGAACATGTGTTAGCTGTTTCCTCACAGCAAACATTTTACGATCTGTGTTCAGAAAAAGAAGACTTGAGTGATATCTAATATTTATATACTCTTTTCTACATTCCAAATACTGTTTACATGTTCTACGTATTATGAAGGCATTTAACCCTCGGGGAGGTCTAAGAAGTAGGTACATGTATCCTTTACTATTCAAATCTATTCAGTTCCTGGATTCAGTGGTTAGAGGTCAAATAAAGGTCAGCGAGCAAGTCTGGATGCTGTGAAATTGCATCATCTGAATCTACTTTTGTTTCCCCACTTGGGATGTTGAAAGGCTGAGGCTTAAATAAAGCTTAAATAAAGTAAACCATGCCATAGAAAAGTGCAAGGGTTTAGACATGGAGAGATTACACAGGGTTATCTATCCCGTTATCTCCACCTCACAGACCAGCAAACTGAAACACAGGTGGGTTTAAGAAAACTGCCTAAGGCTTTGTTGCTCCTATGAGGCACAGCCAGAAAGCTTATCCAGGCACTAAGCACCAAAGTCAATGTCTCGCTTGTGCTTGGCTGCGCAGCTAAACTTTATTTTCCTTTGTGGATGGCGGTGTCTCCACACATACAACACATGTTGTTCTCCTGGAAATGTCTTTGGGGAGGTTAGCCAGAGTTCCCATCCTCTGCGAGCTCAATTTGTCACCAGACTTTGATTGTATGTTCTATTAGCACGAATGTAAACAAGTTTTAGATTATGAAACTTGTTTTTTGTACAGCTTAAGAGTTTAATTCCATGGCTTGAAGAATCATGGTATTCCATGCAGTCACCATTTTTAATAAATTCTGCCACTGTGGATGAGGTAGTGATCCCTGTCATATAGAAACAGAAAGGCACCTGGGTGGCTCAGTCGGTTAAGTGTCTGACTTCAGCTCAGGTCACGATCTCAGTTTGTGAGTTTGAGGGCATCGGGGTCTGTGCTGACAGTGTGGAGCCTGCTTTGGATCCTCTGTCCCCCAACTTCTCTTTCCCTATCAAAAATAAACATTAAAAAAACAAAACAAAATACCTTATTTCTTTTCTCTATGGCCTCTGGTTCATCAAACATCCAGGGAATAATTTTAGGGTTAGTCATTATTTGCCCTTATCATAAGGGTTCTTAGTTTTTTTTTAGTTGAAATACACTCAAATTCTTATTTTTTAAGTACTTACATAAGTAATAACATGAGTCTAACTGAAGGGGCCAATGATGAAAACTGCTAAGCACACATATATGTCACCTAAACACTGATTAAAAACTTAAAAAAAAATTTAATAATTTCCATATTTTCTTGATTTTTACAATTGAAAAATAAATCTGTGTTCTCACAAAGAGTTTTAAAAATATAGCATGTTTGAATTACAAATGATTAACAAAATCCTGAATTTTGTTCCTGCATAGTAAAGTAGGCCAGAAGTCAATGGGAAGGTATGTTCAAATCAAAGGCAGTTTTCATTCTAAAGGCAAAAATCTTCATAGGAATTGATTTGTAATCTTCTGCAATTACTGCTATAAACGTCTCCATCTGTGATACACCAATCCCCTCTCATGACCGATGGAAGTCAGTAGGAATTGCTGGGAGGCATACCCTACAATTTAGGAATTGGTGTGGCTGCCACTGCTATGCTTTCAATTGCACACTCATCGGTTCCTCTGCGGATCCGGAAGTAACCATCTTCGCCCCAGCCAATGCCCCAGCTGTTTTTAACAATCCAATAATCCATCCCAGACACTGGGTCAGTGCCATAGCCCACCAGCAAGACGGCATGATTAGTCAGCTCAAAGGGGTTGAAAGGGTCTCTCAGACCAGTGTGGTAGTAGATCCCCTTGCGGTAGTGGAGGAAGTCATTGTAGACTTCAAAAGCAACTGCCATGGGCCCATGGTGGACCAGTTCAAGCTTCATCAGGGCTTCGTTGCAGCCTCCATAGAAACCTCCCACATAGTGGTACTCGGAGGAGTAGTAACGGACGCAGTCCTCCTTCGGTTTGCATGGAGAGTCTGTGCCTGTGTAGGGGAAGCATGCCTCTTCCACCAGCCCAAAATCTTGAGCGTATTTTCCTGCAATGAGGTAGGGGAAGCCACCATCACAGCCTGAGGATGAATAACACACATTAGAAAGAGGCAGAGGAGAAAGTGTCCCATTTCCTATTTTTCCTTTTCTACTCCATTAATTTTTTGTTACCCCCAAGAGTTGTTCTTAGTTTAAATGCTACTTCATTCATCCATTAGCCACATAAGCTAACTACCCTCTCATCCCCATATAATTAACAGACATTTATTTGGCACCTGACATGGAAGGTAGCTATAATAGCACAGTGGTTGAGTGGGGAGGCTCTGAAGCCTGACTATGTAGTGAAGTTCAGATCCAAAACTGTGAAGAATTTAACTTCTCCATATCTCTGTTTACTTATCTGTAAAATATGGATAGGAATAGTACCTTCCTCGTAGCACTGGTTACTACATGTAAAAGCAATAAAAGTTGGCTATTATTACCATCATTGTTAAATAGCCAGACACCACAATGTGGCTCTTCCTGAAGGAAGTCTTCTCTGACTACCTACTGCAAAAAAAGTCTAAATCAGGTCCCCATCACCTGCCTCCAGTCCTTACCTTATTATAAACATCCATTAACGTGTATTTTTTCTTCACCGTTCTTTTCATTACTTAATTTCTACCTTCCTCACTTAAGTGTAAGGTTCATGAGGATAAAGGACTGTCTTGATACTTACAGTTCCCAGGGCTTAGAAGTTACAATGTTGGGGTTTAATAAGTATTTCAAAAAGAACAAGAGGCTCAATGACAAATAATCATTCCTGGCAGTTTCACTCTCTACTGGCCCAATCTGGTGTTGACAGAAAACTTTAACCTGAGAATGTTTCACTGTCAATCAGTTGCAGCTGGGCTTTCTACATAGCTTACCCATGCCCTGTTCTGAAAGCCCACTTTCAGAATTTTAGTTTCCTCCTAGAGAGAAACCAGTGTTAGTATGGTTTTAATTACATTTTGGGGTGAGACTTTAGCTGGAACTGAAACTTTACTGTTTAGAAGCGGTGTGGCCTTCAAAATATTACAGAACAACTTTGTGTCTGTCCTGTTTATAAACAGGGATATCTACTTCTCAAGGTTTCAAGCATTGTTAGATAATGTCCATAATAGGCTCCTAAGAGCTAGTGCGCATTCAGTACATAGTAACTAGTGACATTTTGCTGAATGGTGCAGTGAATTCCATGAGAATCACTCATGAATAAGTGATAGGGCCAGAACTTGCACCTAGGTGCTCTGACTACAGACAGTGTGCTCTCTACTACACTATCCTTTTACCTTTGCCAACAATGGCCTACCACACCCAGGTAAAAAGGGCTTGAAATACATCACTTACCTTGAGCATACTGGCTGCAAGAGACAACCTCCTGAGGGCTCAAGATTGGGGTCTGAGTATTGTTGGTTAATATACGAATTCTTGCTTCTAGCATACCCATGGAAGCAAATGAGTAGCAGCTGCCACAAGATGCTGGTGATGGAAAAGCAAGATATATAACCCAAGAGAACTTTGAAGCACTTACAAAGAAACACAGAAATATGTGAGTGGAGAGATACAATTAACATATTTATATTGTGTGCTGCTGTTGTGATAAGAATCAGCCCAATATAGAAGATTCAATAGACAAACACTATTAACCTTATAGACAAACGTTAGGATGTCAGCTTTCAAAAGGCCAAGGTTACTCTATGGGGCTTTCCGTGAGAATATTTTAGGAGGCAAAACAAAGCAAAACGAAACCAAAAAACTCCTCTAATCTCTGAAAAGAATTTGGTACTCTTCCTGGTAATCAAGAAATAATGTATGTCTGTAGCATTCTGAGCCATTCAGTTGAGAAAAACTATGAAGGGACACATGTGAGCTGAGCTTTTAAATATCTCCAGAGCAGCATTTTCTAAAGCTACTTGTTGGGTGGAATTAACACTAAGAATGGCTCAGGTATGGGTGTATTATAGAAAGTTCAATTTAACCAGGGTCGAGGAGACAAAATACAACAAAGTCCAAGAAAGGTAAGAGAGTAATTATAATGACAGATATGGTATTTAAGGTGGCCAATGAGGAAGTAAAGGTATAAGGAATATGGAGGTAATGAAATTGAAAACAGACTGGTTCTAAGGGGAAAAGGGTAAGAGCAATACAGTCATGGTCCCCTGAGAAGTGTCACCCAGAGGAAAGAGGAACACGAAAAGTAGCTGGATAGAGGTAAGGGAGAAGGGAAAAGAGAACTGCTTTATTTAATACCCGGATGTCCTGGTGAAGACAAAATTAATTTATTAAGAAGCAAATGCTAGGGATATAGTTGCTCTTTCAAGAGAAAAAAATGTCTTATTATGAGGTAATTTATATGAACAACATCATTTTTCTACATTTCTTTAACAGGTGTGAGTAAACACATAAATACATTTAAGAAAATATGGCACATGTGACAAAAATGGGATTTCAACTTGTTACATTCTAGAAAAAAATGAACATAGTTTTAGTATCTCTATTATACAGCCTCTTTCACCTCTGCCACTGACACAAATTCTACATAGAGTTAGGCTTGCAACAAATCAAAAATATTGGTATAAATGTAGTTACACACAATTGATATTATTCAACGTGCTAATATATTATTTACCAAATTATTTGAATGGTGAGCACTCCCTTATGCACTAAAATAAGATTAATGAATAGACAATATTACATTAAAAAAATCCATTTCACATTAAGAGTATGTTGCCTTCTCTTTAATAAACCTGAAATTAGTAAAATTTAGTAACTGCCTTCCTTAGAGAGAAAAGTATCCAAAACAACATTATGTATTAGATTACTATCTATCGGGACACTGTTCTTCCCTTTCACCAGGTGATGTTCATTCACAATTGTCCCTGAGTACAAATGAAAGCCAGGATACTCTACGCTCAGCCCCTAACATCCTACACTCCAGCTGAATTACTTATACCGTTTTCCTCAAACTGAACTGTGAATTTCCATGAGTGTACATAAGAAATGTGCCTTCTTCATCTAGCTGCCTGATGCAATCAAGAAACTCAATGCGTGTTCGTAGAAATAACATTCCAGTTACTAACAAGTGGATATAGATTTACATCCAGGGGAAAAAAAGTGACTTCATTGGTAGTAGTCAACCTTTACTTGTTTCTAAGCTATAAGGGAGGCAGAAACCTAGACTCTACTGTGAGTCCTCTCCAGTAGTTAAACAATACCACATGTCCTTGACTAGAGTCCATTAGAACTCTACTACCCTTTAACTGCTACCATTTCAGATGTTTCCCAAACTTCTCCCTATAAACATCTCAGATTTATCCATACCATATACTGCTTTTACTGCTAAGAGATCTCCTAAATGATGAAGATTAGGACAAACACTTGGAAGAGGATCTTGAATTCACCTGGTGTAGTACCCACTTGATAATGGATATGTTGAAACTCAGAAAGAAGCAATGATCTGTTCAAAGTCACAAAATGAATAGATGGCAGGTGCTAGTATCTAAGCGTCTCCTAAGGCAGGTTGTGTTCTTTTCAGTTCATATGTCTGCATCTACTTGAAAGAATTTTCAAATTTTCTTTCCTGTCATCAAGTTACTAAATAGGCCAAAATTAACTCGAACATTTTGTTTTTGAAACCATCTAAATAATGCTATCCTTGGGACCCCTCTTTCAAATGATAGAGTGTCAGAGAACTAGATCAGCAACAGTAAATAGATAAAGCCAGTGTTCTTTTCAAGGTACACTTGTAATAAATAACATCCCAAGAATAGGGAAATGGCCCCATTTTGATCATCCAGCATTCTTGGGCCATGGGTATCCACAGAAACAATGACTCTTGGTACTAACCATTGAACCTTCATCTGACCACCTAGCACTGTGGGAGCGATAGGCCACATGTACATTCAAAGGCTCAGAACGTGCTGTTAAGAGAGAGAAACTGCAGCAATGAGGTAAGGACACAACCTTCTTCAAGCCATTGACACTCCCAGAATAATGTGTCAGCTGCCAAGGAAATTAATGCCTTTTAAAAAGTTAAGACTAAAATGTAGATTTTAAAAGAACCATTATTCCTTAAGACTACAGGGCAACAAAGAATTAAGGGGGTCTGACCCAGACAGAGCTTTGCAGTAATCAAATTTCCACCAATTCAAAGAGCTAATGTGATTTCCATATGGTTTAACTATGTTCGGCTGCCCCTTCCCACAGTGGAGGACACACTCAACTAGTAAGGAATCAGGAGTCTTCCCCATCCCTACTCCATGACTCAGCTGTGTGACTCTGGGCAAGTCACTGGACCTTTCTGGCACTTCCTTTTTATCTTGTATGTAAAATGAATAGCGTGGAACAATTTCAGGCCCTGTGTACAGATGGTATTTAGAACAAGACTTAAATGAACTAGGTTTTGGACATTAGAAAAACACTGCATTCCCTAACTAATGTGACCTGAGAGACACCCCCTTTCCCTTTTGAAGGTGCAATAATAAAGAGAGCACATAAGAGGGAAGAACAAAGAAAGTCCAAGTCTTCCAATTTCCTAGTTTCTCTTCCCTCTCACACTTAGACATAAATCTAGCCACACAGCTGGTGCTTAAAGCAGCCTTCAAGTGTCAAGATAAAACCTCATTTTCCTCGCAATATTCCTTTTGTCACTCACCTTGATTTGCTTTCTGAATACAGCAAAGTTGTGAATTACCTTAACTTGGGTAATTTTGAATTCTGGGTCACCTAGAACACTGGTGTTCCTAATGTTAGTGGAATTTTCCAAGTAGCCCAGTTTCCCAGAAGAAAAAATAATTAATTTTTTCCCCAACCCAAAGTAAAGACAACCAAAAAGGAAGTCAAAAGAGGAACCTTTAAAAATTGCCCGTGTCTGTACAAATCATATTTATAGCACTCATAGAATATAGAACATGGGAGACAATGGTTTTTACCAAGCTATGAGAAAACCAGTGTCAAAGAATTCGGCTTTAAAAACTCTAATTTCCTTCCCTTGCATTACTGTCTCATCACCAGTCAATTGTGTCTTTCTGGAAGTGAATGGAACTTTTTTTTTTTCTTTTGTTTTTTAATTTTAAAAATTTTTATGGCTTATTTTTGAGTGAGAGAGAGAGAGAGAGAGAGAGAGAGAGACAGACAGACAGACAGACAGACAGCACTAGCAGGGGAAGGGCAGAGGGAGACAAAGAATCCAAAGACAGGCGAAGACAGGCTCCGGGCTCTGAACTGTCAGCACTGAGCCAGACATGGGGCTCGAACTCATGAACCATGAGATCATGAGCTAAGCCAAAGTCGGATGCTTAACCAACTGGGCCACCCAGGAGCCCTAAACTTTTCTTTTGACCTTCTCCTATGCCCCCAGCAAATTTTACAAACACTACAAAAGCAGTTACCATATTATATTTTAATGTTTTTGGCTTGCAGGTCTTGCTAAACTGCAAATCCCTAGGACAAGAGCTATATCAATTAGTCTTTATATCCTCAGCCGTTAAAAAAAAATTGTAACACATTTGATGCTCTATAAACACCCTATAATACGGCAAGAACAACCATGTGCCAGGCCCTCAATAATCAACACTTGACGTGCAGTATTTACATAATCCTCTCAGATAAATATAGAGCATCTCTTTGATGACAGAGTAAATTTTAAGCCTCTCTGGACATCAGCCCTTTAATTTCACTCTCCATTCATTTCTCGATTACTTGCAAAGTTCTCTCATCCCCCATCCCTCCTTTCCAAAGAAGCCCTCCCCAGGAAAGCAAAAGTAGGGGACAATTTTCAGGATCTCTTTCTCTAGAGCTGAAGAGTCCCAGAACAACTTGTGAAAGGAAAGACAAAGAGATGAGACCTCTGATGTCATTTGGAGTACAGGAACCTTGCTGGCTGGCTGCTCTAAGACCTGCTCAAAGCTCTGTACACTCAGAAGACTTTGCCAGGATTCAGTGAGGATGGAATTAAAGGGCTGGTGGTGAATGCTGAGAAGTCAGGCTGATTATCATGGAATTTCTAGGAAAGGGGAAGAACAATTTATTTTGGGTTGTTATTAACTTATAATCCTCTCAGAAGACACTAATCAGAATGTTTCCAGACAGCAAATACTACACCTATTTTACAGTAACAAATCAGTCGTGTGTACTGTAATTATCTTCAAAATGAGCTTAGAAGCAATAAACCTGAGTATGGTATGAATGATTCTCCAAGTCACTGTTGGCTAAAATTTAGGATAACAAGATAATTTGCTATCAAGCACTATTGGAGGAAGAGTTATTCAATCTACTCATATTGTATCAAATTTCTGAAAATAATGGATAAAATGCAATTATGATGATACTTTTGGTAAAGCTGGGCTCCACAAGGTCACCATTCAGGAAGCTTGGTTAATACTTACCATCATATGTCCTGTTGACAGAAAATGAATTAAAAAGGTCCTTACACAGCTCAAAAAATCTACTGTAACAGAAAAAAAAAATTAAGGATCTATTTTTCTGGGCTCATACAGTAACTAAAAACTAAATGGTGGGGAGCAGAGGGTGGAATGTGTAGGGGCAAATGGCCAAGGCAGATTCCACCAAAGCATTTACAGAAGGAAGACCAATTTCAATTCTGTGCAGTTCTTTGTTTCTCTGCATGAGTCTCTCCTACTGGGGAGAGCAGATGAGCTTGTCTTACCGGTTACTGATTAATCTCATTAGCTACCTAGAAGTACTTGGAGAAGGCTACTATAGAAATGCTGGGCTCAGGGGCGCCTGGGTGGCGCAGTCGGTTAAGTGTCTGACTTCAGCCAGGTCACGATCTTGCGGTCCGTGAGTTCGAGCCCCGCGTCAGGCTCGCGTCAGGCTCTGGGCTGACGGCTCAGAGCCTGGAGCCTGTTTCTGATTCTGTGTCTCTCTCTCTCTCTGCCCCTCCCCCGTTCATGCTCTGTCTCTCTGTCCCAAAAATAAATAAACGTTGAAAAAAAAAAAAAAAGAAATGCTGGGCTCAGCTGGAGATTATCTATTATCTCTGATCTGTCGTGGATAAAAAAGGAAGGAGTGGCCATTGGCTATATACTTTCCATTTCTTTACTAAAGTGGATCGTGCCTGTTTCATCCCTGTATCCCCAGAATCAACCCGAGAGCCTGGTATATAGTAAGTGTTCAGTATTTCAGAATGAATAAATGAAAAATCAGACTTTTTTTTTTTTTACCTTGGTTTCTAACAGGAGTAACAAAATTGGTACCATGAACATTTCTCCAGTCCCAAGATGCTGGCAAATGTAAAAGCTTTTCATGTATTTCAGCAGTCAGTGGTGCAGGTTTGGGTCTAGGACAGAAATAATACATTTGACATCAACATATATTCATTCCTTTGAGGATGATTTCCTAACCCTTAATTCCATGATTTCAACTACACGGCTGCCTAGAATCTACATTCAGGCCCAAGGAGCACTTGTCCTATCAATATTTCAATTATACAACAATGTGTCCACTAGGCCTGTTTCAACTACACAACTAAGTTCTATAAATGGCTTTACAAATGGCTTTTACAATTGGTTTCTTTTTCAGGGTTAGCAATTTTCTTCTATGAAAGGACCCTGGTTATGTACATCACTGAGATGCTATTTTTAGTATATTTCAATAGCTGCATTTTCTTAAACAGATTGTGACTAAGAAAGTAGACACATGGGAAGTTGAAGATGGCCTACAAAGGATACAGAGAAAATACAGGAACTACAGAGGTTTGACTCAGGAGATGGTTAGTGGTGATGGTGAGGTGGTTACAAAAGAAGTCAAGTAGCACAGAGATTAGAGATCAAGTAGACGACTGGCTCCATAAACAAGATGAAAATGCTTCATCATTACAGAACTGTGCCTTATAGGATATGGTTGGAAAGCAAGACACAAAGAGAGGACTTGCCTGGGATGATGGATGAGGGACAGACACATTGTCCGGAAATGAGAAAACTGTTCTACAAGCTTCTCCATGTTAGCAACTTAAAACAAATAGCATTCCAGCTCTAGACACACTAGATTTCTTGGGAATTTTCCAGTCTGTGAAAGGACTTCAGTGTTCCAGGTCTTCCTGCTGCTCCTTTTACCCCAAACGCCTGCTGCCTGCTGCTTAGAAGAAATCCCTTTAGAAGTTCTTCCCTAACTCCTACTTTAAAGACCACTCACACAGCAGCGTCTACCCACCAGCCGCCAACAAAAACTCACTTCTATGCTCCAGCAACTCTTTAGTTAGGGCACTACTATTACACCGTGATAACATGTATCTTTCTGATTATACACTATGTGAATTTCTCATTCAACTTGGCATTGCCATATCACACTGTTCTAACTTTTCAGTGCTCATCCGGTTTACCAGGTTCCAATTTAGTTACTGGCAAAGATTATTTCTGGGCTTCTTCATGTCTTCTGCAACTATTCCCAATCAATTCCCTCTCTCACTTCTTTTAGAGATGATGTGAGTCAATGCTAGGACACAATGGAAATGAAACAGAGGAAGAGGAAAAACAAAAACCACTCGTTAATAGCAATCATAACCTTCTGAAACTGTAAAGATAGCATATTCCATAAAGAAGTATCAATTTTTCACTAAAATATTAACTAAGCCAGGACATTACTGGAAACTCTACGTGACAAGGAGATGAACTTGATGTGATCTGTGACCATATGAAAGACTGCATTAAGAGACATGAAACATATGGGGCGCCTGGGTGGCTCAGCTGGTTGAGCATTTGACTTCGGCTCAGGTCATGATCTCATTCATGGCTTCTGAGTTCGAGCCTCACGTCGGGCTCTGTGTTGACAGTTCATAATCTAGAACCTGCTTCAGATTCTCTGTCTCTCTCTCTCTGTCCCTCCTCCACTCACACTCTCTCTCAAAATAAATAAATAAACATTAAAAAAAGATATGAAACACAGAGCAATTACAATAACACAAAGAAGTTGTAAGTTATAAAACATACAACTTAGATAATGTCAATGGAATGACCAAGGTACATAAAAAAGCTATGCACCATGAAAATTTTAGGGCAGGAGAAAAAAACAAATCAAGAAACAAATCTTGGATATTTCTTTCAAGATTTGTAAGTAAAAATTAGGTGTGAACAATTTTTGGAAGGAAATAAAGTTTCCATGATTTTGCACTGTAAGGATAAAAGATTCAATCAATCAATACATATTAATTGTCCTGTATATACTTGAGAATACACTAAGTAATTTGAAAGATTAAAAAAGGAATTGGGGGCACCTGGGTGGCTCTATCAGGCGTCTTTTTTTCTTTTTCTTTTTTTTTTTTTTTAAGGCTTATTTATTATTGAGAGACAGAGAGACACAGAATGTGAGCAGGGGAGGGGTAGAGAGAGGGGGAGACACAGAATCTGAAGTAGGCTCCAGGCTCTGAGCTGTCAGCACCGATAGGCGTCTGACTCTTGATCTTGGCTCAGGTCATGATCTCATGGTTCATGAGTTCGAGCCCTGCATCAGGCTCTGCACTGATCCTGTGGAGCCTGCTTGGGATTCTGCCTCTCCCTCTCTTTGCCCCTCCCTCATTCATTCTCTCTCTCCTCTCTCTCTCAAAATAAATACACAATTTTTTTAAAAAGGAAATTGAAGTTTGGCAGCAAAATCTAATTTCTGAGCACATATCTTAGGTCATACTGACCTCCTACAGATGGTTTCACCACTTACTAGCTGTCTGACATTTGTGAAAGAATTTAACATCACAAAACTACAACTGACTCCTATTAAGATGGGTATAATCATACATACCTCAAATGATTACTATATAATTCAAATATGGTAATGATTACCAAGTGCTTAGAACAGCTCCTATCTCTGCAAATCCTTAGTAGATTAAGCTCTTATGATAACTCCCATCATCATCATCACCCATGCCATTAAGAGGATTAAATATGATGTGGATACCTTTATTTAAGCGATTGTCTGGCACAAAGCAGGCACCCAAATGTTAACTTCCTTCTTCCTACCATGCTATAAGGCAGAGTATTTGCCTGTCAATGCACAGACAGACAAAACTAAAAGAATGTGACAATAGAAGCTCGATGATGTGAAAATGAAGAGTGAAAGCCATTTGTGAGACAGGGAAGAATTACAAACATTATAGGTGCAGCACACATTTTGGGCTCTTAATCATTTGGGTCTAGATTCTTTAACTTTGGTGAAAGCTCTGACCTCAGGGAGATGACCATAACCAATACTTTTTCTATACTTTCAGCAGTTTCAATGACTCCCTGAACCTCAAGTTAAGGATCTGAGAGTTTCTATTATGTCATTGGATTCTTAGAACTAATTTATATACAAAAATGCTACTGAAAACCAGGCAGCCAGACCACAATGTCTGCTTCAGAATTTTCCATTTCACTCAATTCCATCTCCTATCTCTAAACTTCTATGGAGCCATAGCCACAGAAGCAGCGCTTCATAAAGCTAGCCCTTCTTTAAAACAAAGGTGGTTGGGTGGAGAGACAGAAGTGCCAAACACAAAAGAGTTCCTGAGAAACATGGCCCATGGCACATGGCAAAGCAATTGTGTCTGAGGCTCAGATGTTCAAACCTCTTTCTCTCGTGCCCCTTTGGATTTTTACTCAACAGTTCTCACTTCTTGTCTCACACACACCAATATAGTTCCTTCACTTTCTCAAACCTGATACAACATGCTCTCTTCCCTAATTTCCACTCACCAGAGTCTCATGGGCTGGAAATTCCTTAGAATACACTTTGAGAAATACTGTAGGAGAGTCTTTTGAGAAAGGGGCAGGATTATCAGAGAATGCTATCAGTTAGATAGGAAAAAATCTCTACCCAGAGTCATAATTGAAAAATGTCAGAGTATTAGGATTATTAGTCTGCAAATGAAAAAAATCAGAAACGCATTTTAGTTAGTGGCCCGTTCAAACAAAACCTGAACCAAAACTCTATAGAGATTAATAAGGAAATAATCACTGTATTCTCTGAAAACTGGAAAATGTTTTTATGTACCAAGGAAAAATTACCTACACAATTTACTGAGTCCCATTGACTCCTTATTGGTTTCCAGTTCTCTGCCCTTTGGTGAGATCAAGTTCTCAACAAGGTATGGCATCCCCGGAATAACCTCGGTCATTTAACAAATGTTTAGGGACTATATATTCTGATAGATCCACCTATAGCTTTGAGGAGATTTTTAAAAATCTACCAAATTTCTAATATAAATTCATTTTCTTAAAGTAAGAAATATGCCATGGAAGTGTCACTCCTGGCTGAGGGAAGTAGATAGAGGTACACTGATAAATAAGGAGCAATTTTCTTTTTGCTGGACCTGATAATAGGGAGTGTTGAGATTTTTCCAGTGACAAATCTGACAGTTCCTGAGGCAAGATGAGGGATATTTGAAAGAAAGAGTGGCATGAATGGAGTTAGCTTGACAGCAAAGTTTTTAGTAACTGTGTGTCTTATTTTCTGAAAGCAGATCAGGATACTGAATATAGGCACAAATTTAAAAGGCTTGGGTTAACCAGGTTAAGTTTATTTATTAGATAATAGGTAGTAACACAATCATAGCTGGGTACAGGAAGATGAAGCTGGTATTTTAAAGAATGTCTAAGAATGGGGACCAGGAAGAAAAGAAACCAAAGAGATGGGACTAGAGAGACAGGAGGTGGGAGGCTGATCCACAAAGCAGCAGAGAAATGACAAAACCCTAAGCTGGCATGTAGAAAATGGCCAGGGAACGATGGCGGCGGCAGATGCTGTGAAAGCAACAGCCATAAATAGGACTCAGAGCACTAGGATGTATGTGAAAAGGAGAGAGAGAGAGACGGTCAGAAAAAAAGATAGTGTAACAAACTGGAATGAGCAACAACATGGTGGGCAAACCAGGGAGAGCAGGTTGGAGGGGAGAGTGGCATTAAAATATCTTTATTAGCGATAAACAGATATGCTTTATTACCTTGGGATTCTTCGGCTGTGACCACCACCTCTCCTAATCATCTCTCTCAGGGTGAGAGTCTCATATTCCATGTATGTGGTTGCAGTCCAAGACTTCTGAATGGCATTGATTGCTTTCACAAAGTCATGGTTATATTGGTAGAGCCTATTAGAATAGCTAACAACAAAAATAAGACAGTCTCAGTTATCCTCTTTACAGATGTAATTAGACTTCATTAAAGTAGGCATCCTTATACTCTGGGCCTAAGTGGAAAGTGGAATAATATTTTAGGAAGGCAATTTTTTTTTTTTTTTTTTTTTTGCTTTTTTTTTGGTAATGCAACTGAACCACTTTATTCAAATCTTCAAAATAATCTTTATTTTACATTTTTAGTATAAAAATCAGTAAGTTAAATGCACCACAGTTTAAAAAGAGCCATAACACTGAATTTCCATAATAGTCAATGATAATCCAGCATCACACAAAGAGAACACAAAATTTAGATAAACTGAAATTATCAGAAAAAATAAAATCCAATTTCAGAAAACAAAAACCAAACTACTAGGATTCCTGAAGTACTCAATCTTAATGAAATTTCACTAGACTCAAGTCATTTTGTCTTGTATCATATTCAGAGTATGAGCCTATTAATCCAGTTCAAAAATTTTTGGGAGCCATTAGTAACCGCATCAGACACTCTAACAATAAATGTAACCAATTTTTGATCTGAAAAATCCCCTTAATTTGACTCTAACGTCATCAAGCTTCTGAAATATATCCTACTCCTTACCCGTCATATTTTAAACAAACTGTTGTTTATAGCAGTTTGTGTTAATAGCTTTTGTTCAAATAGAGCTGTACTTCTGGCACCAAAGCAAATCTGAGTTTGTTCATATACGAAGACATGACCTATAAGGAAGGTCCAAAAAGTACCCTTCACTTTTGCCTGAGGGAAAGCACATGTATACCAAGAGTCTAGAACTGGAATGTCTCGTATAAAATAAAAGTTCAAGTTAACAAAGATCTATGTGTAAGGATGTTTGATGAAACACTTTTATAATACTGATAGATTATAAATAACCTAAATAAATGTTCTAAGATAAAGCATTGATTAACAATGGTACTTCATTGACTATGAGTTTATTCAGTAAAAATGTACAGGAGATTATTTACTGCGTGGAAATTAAAGGATATCTCACTAAAATAGAGTCTGGAGGTTTGGCAAGGGGAGCTCTCATGCCCCACCACTCTTTATCAATGGCAAATCCAACAGGAAGATAAGGATCTTGCCAGTGGATACAACTTTACTATCCCATCAGGAGGAAGAAAGGCTTACCTCCTCCCCTGGCAAGGCCCAGCCAATGGGAGAGAGCCGCAGCTCAGCCAATGAGAAGCCACTATACTTCCAACTCCCAGTTTCCTGCATGACTGTTTTGGTTATCATAACCTTCCCAGTTCCCTCCTATCCTCTATAAAAGAGCTTGCTTCCCTTGCTCTGCACACTTGTGTACGGTTTTTGCCATAGCTTGCTGGTCACAGTTGCAATTCTCTGCTATTCCCAAATAAAATCACCTTTTGAGGGTAAAATAACTGTCAGTTTTATTTTTAATGTTAACAAGTGATACGGAAGAGTATTCGCACTGTATATAAATAAAAAGGCAGGATATCAAATAAGTTTATATAGAATCAACCAATTTTTGTGAAAATATACTTATAGTATAAATACATTTTTAAAATGCCAAGGGGTGCCTGGGTGACTCAGTCAGTTAAGTGTCTGGCTCTTAATTTAGGGTCAGGTCATGATCTCACACTTTTTGGGTTCTGTGCTGGCAGTGGAGCCTGCTTGGGATTCTCTCTTTCCCTCTCTCTGCCCCTTCCCCACCTGCTCTCTCACACTCTTTCTCTCAGAATAAATAAATTTTAAAAAGTAAAAAATAAAAGGCCAAAACTTGTTATCTCTGAGTGGCAACATAGAATCACTACCTTGCCCCACCTGCTACAAGTTTTACAATGCACCTTTATAACTTTGTAATAATAATAAAAAAAAAAAGGAGATGACAGCATAAACAGTATATAATGTACATATAGCATGGCAAACATTATAACATAGGAGGCAAAAAATTTTTTTTACATATGGACGTTAGGTTTACATCCTTGTTATTCAAATGTGGTTCTTGAACCCAGTATTAGCAGCCACACCTGAAAGCCCGTTAGAAATGCAGATTCCAAGTATCCAATCCAGACCACCAAAATCAGAAACTACATTTTAACAATATGCCCAGGTGATTCACAATAACATTAAATTTGAGAAGCACTGGTTTCCCTGATCTCAAATGCTTGGGTATGGATATGGATACGGATATAAATAAATCTAATACACAGAGAATATGCTTACAAAGCAAAAAGACTGGAGAAGTTGATTAGTCATACAATACAAACTTGTATCAAACCTATGTTCCAGGTACTAGGATTACGGATAATTATTTCTACTTAAGAAGATTCTGTCACTGAAGTGTGACTCATTATCCAAGACTTCCCAATTATGCAAAGCAAGATACACCTAATTTGAGTAACACCTAGGCATGTTGTGAACTTTTCTTTCCCTTTTTATTTAGATGTTCACAGAGGAATTATTTTGACATAGTTAAAGAAACCTGGGAGCACTGAAAATAATAAGAAAAATGTGCAACTACTTTGATAATCATGTGTATACATGTTTTTATCAAAGCTCTTTCCTTCTTGCAAAGTGTGAAACCAGAGAGTTATGATTATTAAATAGATTTTAAAACTTCCTGTATCTGGTTCCTGACAACACTAACAAAATAAAAACAAGTTACAGTTGTTTGTTTCTTTAGATACGAGGGTAAATTTTAAATTGTAAAGGTCTATTTTGAAGTGTTTTCCACTGATGGGAGTCACTGTTGACTCTCAGGTATTCAAGAAGCAGTAAGTTAGTCCTGCTTTTCTTGCTTTATCCTAGCAACACATCAGACAGGGACATGTGCACTATACTAATGACAAGGTAGGTCTTAAACACTATTATTTTCAGTGTTTAAGATCCAAGGAAATTAAAAATAATGTAGTTTACTATGGGGTAACAGATCATTAAGAGCTGAAAGAGACCTTAAAGATCTCTTTAAGCATAGAGCAGAAGACCTTAAGGTCTTAAGCATAAGACCTTAAAGCACAGTCCCAAATGCTCCTTCTACAGGTGAAGCGGAATAGGTTCTGAGCATGCCAGTGAGTAGCTTCTTCATTAAGTGGGACAATGTTTAAAATACCGAAAAGAGCACATTACTACACAGCACATCCCAAGTGGGAGAGTGAAAAGTGAACAGTTTAATAAGAAAAGTGTTGCTCAAGGATCAAGTCAAGCAAAGTAATTTAAAAGCTAAATTCAAAATGGAGAGGATGAATTAGTCTAGATCTTTATGAGTACTTTCCCAGACAAGTGCAACTTGTCCTCTTTAAACTCCTGTCCCCATTGTCTCTACCTCAGAACCACATCCCCAACTTCTCTACTGTAGGATCACTCACTGCCCATGTGGCCTGGCCTGGGAAAATTTATTCATGGGTACTTTTAGTGGATTTCACAACTAAATAAAACAGAAAAGGCTGCTACCAATAATACCCATGTATCTTTTCCTTCCAAATAACTAAAGTCTGAAATCTCTCATTTGTGTGGTTACTTAACCTGGACCTTGCTTAGCAAAAACTTTAACTGCGTATTGTAAGTTGAATTGTGTCTTCCCAAAATTCATAGGTTCAAGTCTAAACTTCCTCGGAAAGTGATTTGGAGACAGGACCTTTAACAGGGAAATTACAGGAACATGAGGTCCTATCAGTGGTCCCAAACCCAATATGACTGGTGCACTCAGGAAAAAAAGAGATCAGGAAACAAACCGAGGGGTGACATGTAAGGACACAGTGAGAAGGTGGCTGTGTGCAAGCCAGGGACACAGGCTTCACAAGAAACCAAGCCGGCTGACATGGTGGATCTTGGACTCTAGACTCCAGAACTGTGAGAAAAGAAATTCTTGTTGCTTAAGCCACTCAGTCTGTGACACTTGGTTTCGGCAGCCCCAGCAAACTAATACACTGCTACATCACTACTAAGAACTGTCAGTTCAGTTACTCACTGCCCTTGTTTAAAAGTTATGTTCAATTAGTATCACCTATGATTTGTTGCAACATAAACATTGGCATGTACAAGTGTTAAGCAATCACATGGCAATGATAAACCGCTCTTTTCTTTCTTTGGCACTGCAATTCTATGGTCCTTCATATAAATTTTCTTGAAAGCCATCAGTGGTCCATTACTCTTGGAAAAAATATTTTCTTCTCTCCGTTCCATTACTCAACATGTTTTTCCAGTTAGGTTTTATATAATATGGCCTATGTTTCTATGTTAAATAAATTGTATATCATCAAAATAATGTTTTCCAAGAATTAACATAGACGCATCCTTCTACATACTATAAAACTAAGTGTCCTTTTCCCTTGTAACAACTCACTTTTCCGGGAGACTCTCAAGGTGTGCTGTGTTCACATTCACATTCTCAGAGGTACTTCCCACCTTGGTTCCCGTGAAGCAAGCCCAGTTCCGGCCCAGCACATCGTGCACCCATCCAGGCATGGTCTCCTGGCAGTAACTGGTTACCTTGCCGCACTCTTCTTCATACTGCAACCAAGTAAGGGAAGGAAACGTCAAGCAAATGGATCTGTACTCATCTGTCAGGTCCCTTTTCCCGGCTCCCATTCACAGTCCTTTCATCTTGGGAACCAGCCTCTGCCAACCAAAAGAAAAAATTCACCCTGAGAGGTTACATTCTGAGAATTACTCTATAAAAGGAGGAGAAATAAACTTTTCTATGATTGCAGGAACTGACTGCCAAAAAACAAAATTTGCATAACAAAACATTTCTGGGAATGAAAATCAGGGGGAAAAAACCTAATATTTTTAGAGCATCTGCCCCATGGCAGGCATTTTACAATAGTTTCCTCATGTAGTCCTCGCTAAGCCAATGGGGAAAGAGCCTTCAACAGGCCCATTTTACCAGCAAGTAAGTGGAGGCTCGGCTGAGAGAGGGTATGTAGCTCCTAAAATAACAGAGCAGTTACACGGCAGAAACAAATTTCTGTTCAACTGTCAGACTATACTTTTCTACTCAAAGAAGATGTACTCCAGCAAACTACAAAAATAAAGGATGAAAAATTTCCATAGAACTAAACAAAATCCTTTTTCCTGTCAACCTCACAATTTATTAGGATAATCTGATTATGGGGGAGAAAAGTAACCTGATTATTAATATTCTCTCCATTATATTTCATTAATATGGCCCCTTGTCCTATTCCAATGTTAATACTGAACACCTATAATGTGATAGATCTAGGATTTGAACTCAAATACATAGGTTCCTGAGCTTACAAACCCTCATGTTATAACATCTCCTCATGGAGAAGGAAAGCCCAGAATGTAGGAGGAAGAAAGGGAAAATTCATGCTAAATTTCAATGAGGAGGGTCTTGGGCACAATTTCAGGCACTGACTTACTGGAACAAAAGCACAGAAGCAGTCAGATGACACATAAACAAATTGCCAGCAGTCAGCTGAATTGCAATACTTTTCTTTCGAAAAGTACATAGGTTATTTTTGACTCACAGGCTATAGTTTGCGAACTCCTAACAAAACAGGTATCACTTTACCTGTGTGCAGGGGTTGGCAAACTTTTCTAAAACCAGAGAAACAACATTTGAAGGCTTGCTAACTATAAGGCCTCTGTCAAAACCACTCAACTCTGCCACCGCAATATAAAAGTTGTATAGGAAACACAGAAATGAATGAAGTAGACTGTGTGCCAGTAGAACTTTATTTACAAGACCAGGCCCAAGGTTTGCAACCCCTGCGTTTAGAGGAATGCATGGGCTAAACTATACCTAAGGGTAGAATTACCTTTGCATCAGACTCTCTCTGAATTCAAATCATATTTACGAATGGAGTTAAAAATGCTTGGCCTTAGAATCCAAAAAAACTAGATTTGAACCTTGGGATTCACCACCCACTAAGCTATACAACACAGGATAAGTGAGTATGGACTACTCACATAGATTTATACTCTGCATCCGTATTGGTGGTTCATGATATTGTGAAACCTGTCTATCCACAGCTGGCTAAGCATGTCTTCACCTGTGTGAGTTCAGCTTCCTGCTCATGTCCCTGCTAAAGCCCCAACTCAGGATGAGAAACACTGAAACAAAGGCCTTAGAAGATGACCAAGCTGCAACATTAGAGGGTGTGTTGCATAAAAAGATCAGTAAAATTTATATTTATTAAAATCAAAACTACATGCAACTGCTATTTTTATAGATCAAAAACACACTAATACTGGTACCTCATTTGATGGAATCTAAACCCCTTAGCATTCTTTTCAGTATCTCTTTGGCACAGGCTCTTGATCGTGTTCCATTCTCTGCAGTGTGGTGGTCAGACAGGCCAGGTGGGGTTAAGCCAAGGCTCCCCCACCTCTGCCGTTTCAGAAAGCAGTCTGACAAGACTTTAAAGAGTTCTTGAAATGTACCTTACAAAATATGTCAGATACACATAAATGAAAAAAAAAAAAAATACTACACGTAGGAAGACACTCATTGCAACAGAAAAGTTAAAACCAAGAACTGTGTCCTAAATGTTCATGTATAAAAATAAAGGAGTATTATACAGCATTTTAAATGATAAATGTTGAGTTCTATAGGACAGACGGCTGCCTGCTTCTATGAATGTAGTTTTATTGAACACGGCCAGAACCACTTGTGCACATATGGTCTATGGCTGCCTCCATACTACAGCAGAACTAGTAGCCACCTTAGAATACCTAAGGCCCACAAAGCCAGAAATGTTTACTACCTGACCTTATAAGAAAAAGTTTATCGACCTCTGTAGAAAACCTATGTTAAGAAAAAAAATTATAAGATAGTACTTAAGTTGAATACAAATGCAAAGAAGTTTCAAAAATGGAAATAAAAGGCAAAATCAGTCTCTGGGTAGAATCTCCTTGTTTATAAAATGAGGACTGCTATATACAATTATTCACTTTAAAAAATATTCTTGGGGTGCCTGGGTGGCTCCATCAGCTAAGTGTCCAAGTTTGGCTCAGGTCATGACCTCATGGTGAGTTTGAGCCCCACAGGGAGCTGTCTGCTGTCAGCACAGAGCCTATTTCAGATCATCCCCCTCTCTCTCTGCCCCTATCCCACTTGTGCACATGCATGTGCCATCTTTCTCGAAAATGAATCAACATTAAAAAAAAATAAATTAAAAAATTTCCTAAGAATGAAACTCATAGCCTACAAAGTCCTGGAAGAGGACGCCTATGAGAGATGGTCAAGGTGTTGTTAGAGGCTGTTAACACTCATCTGTTTTGGAATTACTATTACACTTGAAAAAAAATTATTTATAGAACTTAGTATTTTGCTAAGGTCTTTCATTTATTTATCAAATATTTATTGGCCACCTATTTCTCAGGCATCAGTGCAAGGTACTAGGCATGTACACATAAATGTATTGATGTGGCCCTAGCCCTTAAGAGGTTCACAATTCAATGAAAGAAACAAATAATTCATTACAACATCATGTGGTTCAAGAAGCTAACCATGCTGGAGAAGCCCGGGAAACTTCTCCATCTAGGCAGAATTTAGATCACAGATGAAATAACTTTCCCCTAATACCAAAAGAGTTAGGGGCATTCAAGTGAGAAGAACTGGGCCCCATGTTTTTCATCAGTGTGGTTTTGCTCACCTGGTTGGCACAAATGAGTCATAGTTACAAGCATCATGTCTAACACCAAATGAACTTTCCCTGTGATGGGAAGGCTGACTTGTTATTTTGATAGAGGGGGAAAAAATTCACCAAAGCATGACTGATTTTGCTGAAGTTTCTTACCACATTTTTTTAAGGACTCTGTATTTTTTATCAACATTATGGAACTATAGCACCTTATCAGTTCACATTTTGATAAATATCTTACCCATCACTCATAAATCTTCTAAGTTCAAGGAAACCGAGATAATATAGTCTCAGGGGACAAAATAAGTAGTCAAACTAGAATTTATAAAACCAAGGGCTCTTCCCAATGCCACACACCACTTCATATACTCTGTCTTTTCACAAAGAGCTAGAGAAGTAAACATACTAGCCAACTCCAAAAACAGAGAGGAGATACCAAGAAACCATGCAGCAAAGAGTTTCCATCTGTATCATTCGAGCCTCACAAGGATTCCTTGGGATAATAGGCATCAATCACTCTTTTCATAAAGAAAAAAAAAATTACATGCTTTGCAAAGTAAATGGAGAAGAGAGAATTCAAACATGGGTTCACAAGTTATAGGATCATTACTTTATTCACTGTTTCCTTTAAAAAAAAAAGTTGAAGATTAACAGACTCTCAAGAGTAAAGTCCAAATTGCTGTTCACAGCCCTGTAAGGGCCACTTACATTCTCTAGCAACCCTAATGGTAATTTTCTAATTCAATCTTTTTACCTTTTTTTTGCCAAGGTTTTTTGATGGGGAGCAAAGGTCAAAGACATGGTCTTCAGGCTGGACTTCCTAGACTATATCCAGCTCTGACACTTACTGTCTGTGTGATCCTAAGCAGGTTACTTATCCTTTCTGCACCCTCATCTATAAGATCAGGATGATGGTAGACTCCACCTCATATACTCTGTTTTACATATATTGACTCATTTCACTTTCACAGCAGCTTATGAGGTTGTTCTCGACTCAAAAAAAAAAAAAAAAAAAAAAAAAAAAAAAAAAAAAAAAAAAGGCACTGTGAGAATAGGATTGTTTATTCAGGAAGTAGGAAACTGGCATTAGGAAGCAATTCGTTATGGAATGAGTGAATAAATGAGAGAGAACAACAAATAAAAGAGAATAAAAGAATAAAAGAGAAAGTGAATAAAAGAGAAAGAACAACAAATGCCAAGTCCTCTTTAGCAATAACACAAGAAACTCAGAAAAGATACGAAGTTTGTAATTAATCAAAGTGCAGTGCTTCTAAGATATCACAGAGACCCTGAAATTACTTTATAAAAGGTAGGACGGGGTTGTAATACCCTGTAATCTGTGCAGGATTCAGTAGAAGAAGCATTGAGCACTCTAGAAGCCGACTAGTCAGTACCTTACACCTTGAAAGGACCACATGCTGTTCATGTTATTTTCTTGATTTGAACGTTCTCACGGTATCTGTCATTTTTGCTATTGTGAAATAGTTCTTATGTGATTCTGACATTATTACCAATTAAGAAGCTGAAGTTTTGGCCACACTATCCAGCTTGAAATATAGCCAAAGTATTTTTAAGGGTTTTCATTTATTTCATTTATATAAACATCAGTGTCCGAATACCATCCTGCACAGATGGTGTAATTTAAGTTTCCATTCATTCATGCCAATTTCAACAGATAATTTCATAAAATGTAAATTCCACACGCTAGCATTTAGGTTTAGAAAACTACTAGGATTTACTAGCTATCCATTTGCTTCTTCAAAATTACCCAAGGTCGCCAAACATTCTCAAACCCCTCTTCAAGTTCCCACTCATTTCATCAACTATCATTACTGTTACCTATTTAACTGATTGAAAAAGAACAGGTTGGGATATTTTAGAAGTTTAAAATCACCTTGTTCC